CATCACGAATTATTCGTACTGATAATTAATTACTAATATTACCAATATTAATATCTATTGAAAAAAGTGCAATCTTTAATTTGAATTATAATATAACACTTCTTAACAATGTTTTGACTATTGTCAATAAATAAACAATATGAACTCCCCGTCAAATTCATTGCCTTAGCCTACTTAGTTTCGAAAAAACTATTTTTAATCATATGAAAAACCAATGGTCAAAATAGGTATCAACATTAAGATTCTTCTGAAATAAAAAAAATTGAAAGTACCTACTGACTTATTTTTTAATTTAATTTATAATACAGGGTGTGTCAATACTATACTTACTTATGTTTATGCGTTTGTATTCATATCTCGAGTTCGACAAAAGCTATTAACATGCGGTTTACGTTATTTTGCATTAACGCATTACGTTATTTTAATCCAGTTTTATTATAATTTACAATAAATAGGTCTTTCCATTAAACATTTTAAAGATAAACAAATTTTAATTTTTTCTATTTGAAAGTACGCTTTACCTACGACAATTAAAACTAAATACAATTATTTTAAGTAGGTGTGAATTAATTCATCCACACTCTTTCTAATGAAAATAATTTCGTTAAAATCGTTTGATCCAAACCAAAGTTATAGGTATTTATCCACAAATACTTTCCTACTCTCCCCCACCCATTATTTGAAAAAATAAAAAAAAAGTACTTGAACAACTTTGTGCAGAATTTAGGCCTCTTTCTAGTTTACTTATTTAACACTTGGTCTAATTAGGCATATTTCCCAATAAACTGGGTTTTAAAGTTTTCTTCGCAGTTTACGTCCTCTAGCGGTTAACTCAGAAACTTGAAAGTTATTTCCAGCGATTTCTCTTGGCTACTTTTACTAAGGAATTTTTTATCCTAAAGTTATAACATAAATAGTTTCTGATATATAGCCGAGAGATCGGCTTATTGGACCACCTGGTACATTTTGATAAAGTGAGTTATTGCACCAAGTCCACGATATAAATCTTTTTAAATTTAAAATGAATTATATTTTAACAATCTACAATAACATTTTATATTATTTTTTGTTTCAGAATTATGCTGCTTGTGTATGGTTGGAATCTAAAATCGTACGTATTATATTTTTGTTAATATCAAAAAAGTCAAACTAATAACATATTATGTTGTTTAGTATAATCAAATGTTGCATACAATCTCGAATTAAGAACTTGGTGAATTTGAACTTAAAACTCAATAAGCGGGTTATTCTGTAATAGAAAAATCTGAAAAGGACTAAAAGGAAACGTATATAAGAGTGCGGTGAGACCTACTTTTGTATATGGCGGTCAAATGTAGCCCGTAAGGAGAGTTTTCTAAAAGAAGATAAAGGAAATTGAAATAAAAATATTACGGTGGATGTTGGGTAGGTCATGAAGGGGCAATGTCAGGAAAGATGTGTATTAGTGAAAGAGCCAGGATAACTAGTCTTTTATTACTATATATAAAAACAGCAATTCCATGATGCTACCCATGACGACGCCATCTTGTAGCGATAGTTCTGTGATGCTCGCCTCAACATTCTAATGTAGAGAAAAGAGTAATACAACGCCAGTATGGAAGCTTCGCTTCAAAAACGCATCTTTATTTTTACACTTTGTACACAGGTATTTTAGATATTTCTCAGTTGTTCTAGAAATAGACCTATTATGTGAAATAAAAATCATCAAAATCCAATTAATTGTTCAGAAGAAAAATAGCTTCAAACTTATGATACACTTAAGACTGTTTTAGCAGTCACATCACACTGCGATTTAGAATGAGCGTATCACTTACTTTTCTACACTGCTTACGCCAGCCGACTATGGGTACAGCGGGTAGAGTGGCGCCGGCCCACGTGTAGTTTAATGACAATAAACGCATTATTCTCCATATATTCTCCATGGTGTTTATTTATAATAAATTTAAAATAACATAAAAATATTATCATCACAAAAAAAAAATACAATTTTTTGTCACAAAGAAATAAACAATTTCGAAGTTATAGCTTGAAAATGATTTAAAATCGAACTAACTGACCGTACGTTCATGAGATTTGACGTCACGAAGCCGATAACATTCCAAGTAAGTGCCAATGATGAGTAACACGTTTCACTATTAGATTTAGTATTTTTTAGCAATTTTCTTCAAAGTTTGAACACGCTTTTCTTAATTATTACTGGACACAGAAAGGTGAAAAAAAAAATTACCGATTACAGAAAAAAAAACTCTTTCAAGTGATGGGCGTAAAAAGTTTGGTTATAATAGAACGTTAAACTGCATAATCCGGTACTTCAAAAGAACTTTCAAAAAATTAAACAAGTAAAACTACCAGTTTAAAGGGCAACTAATTTTGAATAAGGTGTCCAAATTTCAAGAGATTTTGTCGGTACATAACAGAGAAAACACTATCTCTAGGTTTTGGTGTCCCGATAAAACAGTTTTAGTGTATGTTATCCCTTATGCTATATGATGCAGGTATATACAGAATGGCCCAAAAGTCTGGAAACGGCCAATTATCTCGTAAATTGCTAAATCTAATTGTACAAAATTTAAGGCACACCTATTTTGGGATACGGAGATTCCATATTTGATATTTGCAATGTTGCCAGATTTTCCGTTTCTATTATATTATTAGTAATTTTGGTTTTTTAAATACATCACCCTGTATATTTAGTCATTATTGGAATCTCCTATTCAATACGAGTTTAACCATATTTATGTAACACTTATGATTTTATGTAGTCTAAAACGTCTTAAATACATAAAACAAAGTCTGGCAACGCCTAATTGTTTCAATAAATTTTTTAATACTAATTATTTTCAACTACATTAAAACTTAACAATTGATAGATTAGAACATTTTTTAACAATAGTTACGTTATTAAGTGTTCAAAATGTGCTCAATTTATGAGTTGACAGTACCCTAATCGATGTTAGAATGCGTCTATCACATTTCTCCATGATGGTCTAGAAACAATTCGAGATTCATTGATAATTCGTTGCCTTATCTCTGCAAGACTTGCTGATTACGTTTTGTAAACTGAATTTTTCAAGTATCCTAATAAAAATAATCTTTATGATTGAAATCGGGTGAACGTGAAGGCCATTAAATTTTACCTTGTCTACCAATTTATCATCCGGGAAATATCTCATCTAAATAACGCCGAACATTTACACCAACTATCTGACGTTAAATTTTTTTTATGATAAAAAATGTCCCAATTAACTGAGTACCTACTATACCTGACGACACATTTAATTTTTGTGGTCTTTGAGTATGGTTTTCACGCATTCAGTGTGAATTTGCGTCACTCCAGTACATTAAATTGTGTCGAATTACACTTCCACACAGTGTAAAGATTGCTTCATCGGATAACATATTCTGTTAACGACATTTTAATAATTTTCAATTTTATCCATCATTACCTCAGTAAACTCTAATCTAAGATCGAAGTCATCTTCACTTAATTCTTGCAATAAGTTTATTTTGTATGGTTTAAACTTATTTTTACGTAATATACGTAAGACTGAAGAACGACCTACATCATGTACTTGCGCAACCCTACCTGAAGCTGTATGTGGATCTTCAACAAAATTTTTCTCTTTCCATCTGTCTTTACCTTGTTCAGATTTCTCAAATCGCTTTACAGTTTTTTGTACCGTCGCCTTATGAATAGGAGAACGGTTTAAAGAACGGCATTTTAGAGAAGCAATTTAAATTTCAGAACTTTTCGAAACACAACTACTGTCAGTTTTAGTTTATAATGTAAATCGTGAACAAATGTCAATATCACAGCATTCTACATTTAAACATTTAAATTTATTAAAATCTACATATTTTGCACTGTTTTATGTATTTAAGACCTTGCAGACTACATACAATCATAAGTGTTACATATTTTTGAACTCGTATTGAATAGTTGAACTCGTATCAAATTCACACTGAATGCATGAAAACCATACCAGACCATAAAAATTAAATGTATGATCAGGTATAGTAGATACTTAGTCAATTGGGTTATTTTTTATCGAAGGAAATTTAATGTCAGATAATTGGTGTAAATGTTCGGCGATATTTAAATGAGATATTTTCCGTACGATAAATTGGTAGACAAGGTAGAATTGAATGGCCTTCACGTTCACCCGATTTCAATCCTAAAGATTATTTTTATTAGGGATACTTGAAAAATTCAGTTTACAAAACTTAACCACCCAAGTCTTGCAGAGCAAAGGCAACGAATTATCGATTAATCTCAAATAATTTCTAGACAATCATGGAGAAATGTGGTAGACGCATTCTACCATCGATTAGGGTACTGCCAACTCACAAATTGAGCATATTTTGAACACTTAATAACGTAACTATTGTTAAAAAATGGTCTAATCTATCAATTGTTACGTTTTAATGTAGTTGAAAATAATTAGTATAAAAAAATTTATTGAAACAATTAGGCGTTGGCAGACTTCTGTTTTATGTATTTAAGACCTTCCAGACTATAAAAAATCATAAGTGTTACATATAGTTGAATTCGTATTGAATAGAAGATTCTAATAATGACTGAATATACAGGGTGATGCATTTGAAAAACCAAAGTTACTAATAATATCAGAGGAACGGCAAATCTGGCAACATTGAAAATATCAAATATGGAATCTCCGTATCCCAAAATAGGTGTACCTCAAATTTTGGACAATTATAACCAGCAATTTACGAGATAATTTGCCGTTTCCAGACTTTTGGGCCACTCTGTATTTTACTTTAGATAGATGCTCTCTTATTATGCTTTACGTCATTTCGGGCTAATAGTAACAGATTTTTAAGAGAAACTCATAACCGATATTTAAGAGAACTGGAGAAATATAGTGCACTATTATGTATGAGAATACATAGTATTCAAATTGCTTCTTTAGAAAAATCGATTAAGTAATATTTTTCAGAACGCTGTATTAAACGATTTCTATTATGTATTGTTTTTTCAGATTAACACTGATATGATTATGAACAAGGCAATGGCAGATATCTATATACCCAAGGAACTTGGACCACGATTAGAAGATGAATTCATCGGTTATTTGTTGTGTGCTAAACAATTTAGACAATATAGTAAGTATAGACTTAGGAATAGTAAGTATATTCTATTAAGAATAGGAAAATATAATGGAATTGCCTGGGATTAAATATCACGGTAGAGTTGGCCCATAGAGTTGGCAACCCTTGGAGTTTTGAATTGCCATGAAGTAAATGTGTTAATATCAATTAAATTTCAATTTAATTAAATTTTATAACAGATATGTATAAATTTACAAAGTTAACATAATTTAAAAGGTTTTTACCCAAATATTTAGTGACTTTACCTATGTATACCTGGAAACTGCACTGATGGATGAATTTATTAGTCCGAAAACGTTCTCTGATGTAACCCGAAAGGGCATTTTTATAATATATGCCTTTTAAAAAGGTTTGTTAAATACAAACATTTTTGATTCATGGTATATAGTCAACTACAGGTAGTTCATTTTCCTTGTGAATTGATGTATGTTTCTTTAGATATGAGATTAACAAACATTGGTAATTTAAGTTACTCAAATTGAGTCAAGTTAACGCAACCTAAGTTAATACACTGCCGAAATAGGCCAAACAAAACAATTACCACTGATTTGGTTTTCTTAATCATGAATTTTTATTAATTATACTTATTGTGGAGGTTGATTTTTTACTATATCAAATAAATTTTTATTATCGATGAAACGTAGAATTTTTATAAATCTGAAAATTTTTTTTAAACAACAATTCGTACCATTATCAAAGGCAAATTAAATCTGATAAGACGCTTTTATAACACGGTTAAAGATAAGCAACGTTTACTAACGATAACTTAATTTTCAGAAAACAAAATGTCCTTTGCTGATAAGATCTTTGGAATGATCCAATGCAATTACAACAGAAGTCCTGAAGTAAGTTTATAATGTCATTTTTATAAATCAAACTAATATTTTAATATTAATATAAATCTTAATCGTTTTAAGATCCATAAGTGATTTAGGGCTAAATATCTTCGCAGAAAAATCCTGAGTTTTAATCTTCACCAGGCATAACATGAAACCGAAGCAGAAAATTACAATAGATGGTATAGAATTTACGGTGGATACCAATGTCAAATATTTAGGAATTACATCAGACAGAAACTTAACCTGGAAACTCCATATTGAACAGATAGAGACAAAATGCAATAAAGGGCTAAACTTCTTAAAATCCATTATGCGAACTTGGTGAGGTGCAGAACCTCAAAGAGCTCTAATCTATAAAGCTTACATAAGATCAATAATTGATTATGATTGTACACTTTATGGAACAGCCAATAAAACAAATCTACGTTAACTGGATATTATACAAAATAAATCACTCAGAATATGTCTGGGAGTAATGAAATCTACACAAGTTGATTAAGAGCTGAAGCAATCGAACCTCCATTAGAACTGAGATCATTTTTAGCTGAAAAAATTATTATTCTGTCGCTAAAGAAAAACTCACCATTCATTAGCAGCATATATAAGTTAAAGGGATACGACCTAACTAAGCCTTTTTGGATTCATAAAAACTCAAATGAATCTTAAAACTGTGATCTTAAAACCACAAACAAAGGTAGAGACCGTCTACTTTGATCACTTTATTTCCTGTGATGTGAATATACCCCTTTATACGGATAGCCATAAATCAAATTTTAGAGAAACATCCAAACTACGTCACTATATACACTGATGGATCAAAAAACACCGATGTACAAGTTGCGCTTTCATAATACCTAAACGTATACAGAAAAAATATAAGTTAAACAAAAACTCATCTATTTTCACAGCTGAGGCAATAGCAAATCTAAGAGCATTAGAATTTGTTCACCAGGAGGAGTATCAGAATGCTATAATCTTTTCCGATTTACTTTCCGTTCTTAAAAGTTTAAAATCAAACTCAAACACAACCAATGACATTATTTTTAGTATCCAAGCAATACTTAAACATTTACAAGATCAAAATAAATATATAAAATTTTTTTGGGTCAAAGCACACGCAGGAATAAGAAACAATGAAAAAAATTAACAGGAGAATTTTACTTCATCATGACATGTGTTTGTCTTTTTAAAGACAAATTCATGCTATGGTTTTTTCTGACAGATATTTTTAAGTTAAAGTTGATTTCATGTAATCGAATGAACTATCTTATGACTAAAGTCGTCCCAGGAGCGCAACTCAACAATATTGGCAATATCATTTTAAAGTCGTCTACTTTAAAATGTAATGTATGTATCCAAAAAAAAAATTGTCAATATAACTGAGTCAGATAAAATTAAATTGTTAGAAGAATTTTTCACTAAGTAACAAAAAAACAAAATCTGTTCAGTTTTCTAATGTTTCTATTTTGAGAACGATTTCCGAAGTGGAAATTGAAACGTCAATAAACGTATTCTAACCTTTAATTGTGGCTTATTCCCATTTAAATAGTAATTACTTAAAAATGCCACAAGAAAATAGCTTCAGAACAATATTGAAAGTGAACTTTGCGAAGCCTGTAATAAAATTGGTGACCTGGACCACATCTTTCTTGATTGCTCAAAATATAGACCTCAATCTAATGAGCTTTTCAGAAAACTTTTAAAATTAAATATTGAAAGCCCATATAATATACTACATCTTTTGCTTTAGAAAGAAAAGAAATTTACGGTTGTTTGCTGTCTTTCGTCAGAACAACGAATATACAAATATAACCACCTTTGTTGATACCTGATGTCTTTCCTTAATGTATGTATACCTATCTGTCCAAGGCCTACTTTTTGTCTTTCCTTAATATATATATATATATACCTATTTGTCTGAGGCATATCTTTTATCGTTTATAAAATTCCCTGATCCTCCCTTGTGCGAAAAGAGTGTAATCCCTGTGTAATCTTTGTATCTGTTTTTAAAAATTTGTATCTGGCTGTGTAGTATTTACCCTAAAGCCAATAAAAAAAACTAACTGACGTGACTAACTTCGTATCCACTTAGAATTATTAAAAAATGTTCTGTTAAATTACTATACTACGTTCCACGTTTAGAAAATAACATTGCGGATATAGGCCCATGTATTTCTTATGGACGATCGCAACGCGGCGTTGCCACGACACACACAAGCACAATTTAGGGTTGTATAATTTGTATTTTTGTTTCCACAAACATGAATTAAATTAATGTTTTTTAAACGTAATTGACCAAAAGTGCCCATTCGAAACAAGAGATGAAAAGTAGGGAAAATAATTTTAATTAGATAGATAGTATTTACAAAAGATAATTTTATTTTATCTTATTTTAATTATAGTAACGACAGTTTATTTGTTTTTCGGTGAGAATACGATATTCCATGAATCATAGAAATAAGTAGAAAATATTGACCGCTTGGAATGCGTATATCTAATTACTAATTGCAACTTAAAATAATACGATGTGCGTATGTCAGCTATTTTATGTCGTTCTGTGGCTACATAATGATATTAAGGCTTTTATTTAGTAGTTATTCTGACTTTACAGTTAAGTGTTAATTGAAAATGAAAATTCAAAAATTAAGCAAAGGGAATATCTTGGACATCCGTGCAAAAGAGAGTGTCTGAGAGTTTTGGCAACACTGATCACCATAAGCGTAATGTTATTTTCTTAACTTGAAACAAAGAATAGCTACGTTTTATAAACTTTTTTAAAAAGAAGCTAATTCACGTGGTAAAAAAGGAGCCATTAGCTGAATGTATTGCACTCGTGTTAAATTATTTCATTGGAGGATCTTATGATATACTAGATTTTTCGTTGGGTTGCCAGGCATGAGAAAGTCGGTGATTTGCCTATACGTCAACATACGAAGTATAATTGACGATGCGAGAAAATATTATTTTCTATATTTAGTTTTAACACATTAAATGGCCTTGTCATATGTTTATGCTTATGGCGCATGTAAAACGAGTCAAATTTTAATTTTATTTAAATGTGAATAGCATATCAGTTGGTACTATCAGAATTCTCGAAATGAGAAGTTAAATTTTCCAGTTGTCCTTAATCCTTAAATTTTTCAGTTTGTTCGTCGCATATATTGAGTGTATATGCGTCCTGTTACTTACTCACTTACTCCGTGGCGTTACAACCCTTTGTGGGTTTTAGCCGACTCGACAACATGCTTCCACTGTTTTCTGTCTTGAGCAACCTCCATCCAATTCTCCACGGCCATAGTGCTTAAGGTCTCCTGCTATATTATCTCGCCACCGGAGACGAGGGCATCCGCGTGGTCTCCTTTCAGTTGAGACTTCCTCCCACACCAGTCTTACTGCTCGTTCGTCAGAATGTCTTCTGAGGTGTCCTGCCCATTGGAGTCTTCTGGACTTTATTTCGTTTATGATGTTGACGTCGGGATAAAGTTCTTCGAGCTCTTTGTTAGTTCTTCCATATTCTCTGCTTCCTTCTCGAATTTCACGAAAGTATCCTTCATCCTTAATCGTGTGTTTCCTATTAGATCGATATCGTCTGCAAATGCCAGTAGTAAGTTTGGTCCTTCTCGATGAAATACTGTATTAGGTTTTTCGATTCTTGCACTTCTGATTATGTGCTCCAGAGCTAAGTTGAAGAGTTGTGGTGAAAGTATTGTTGTCCAACTCTCACCTTACATCGTAACCGTTCCATACACATTCGGAGCAACCTGACTAGTTTTTTTGGAAAGCTAAGTTCCTGCATCGCTGTCCACAGTCTGTCCCTGCATACTGAAACAAATGCTTGTTTAAAATCTATGAACATCTGATGAAGCTCACCATCAAACTCCCAGCATTTTTCCATTATCTGTTTTATGCATCCTGTTGAATAGCTTTATTTGGTTTAGATTTCTAGCTATTATGATGACCTAGCCAATATTTAGTTTGTAGTAAATTATGTAGTGGTAAACCAAACACACGTCTTCATGACACAGTCAATAGATTTCCAGGCATGCTGTGGACTAACAGTTTTATTTTAAATTATTAGTTTAAGTAATCTATGTCTTCGTTCTTTGCTGATATTATTTTTTTACTAAACCAATTGTGATTTTTGTGTTTGGTGATGATGTTCGGAAATACTTTATAAGTTCGTTATTCATTGAGACAAAATAGAAAAACTTCGACGAAAACGAAATCAAAATATTTCATCTGTTAATGGGAATAAGGCCATTACCGATAGCCAGCAATTGTTTGGAGAACATCAATTGTCACATGTTAGTTTCATTCGATTGAACTAAATGATTAAATCATATTAATCATATTCACGTTTGCGTTTTAATTCTCCATTAAAAGCGTTATCCAATTCTTGATTTGGCAACGGCATTCCTAACTAGACTAATTAACTACTGCTCATGATGTAAAAAATTTAGTCTTCGACCAAAAGAAAGCCTAGTTGTGCATCATCTCATTCACCTCTAGATTGGGATTCCTTATACTGACACGAATTCGAATAAAAATTTCATCAGATATGTCATATTTGTGCTTGTTCTACAGTTGTACATTCACTTGATTTCATTATTAACTTGATTTTCCGGTAAAATTGCGAAAAAATGAAAAAACCGTCGATTTTAGGGACTAAATAACCGCTTGCCACGCTTTTAGCAGGTGTTTCTTGGTTCTTCAAAGTGTCAGAATTCATTCTGGGGATCAAAACAAAGCGATTGGTATCTAATATGTATGTGTGCTCCAACTATAGAGGTATCTTTTAATCTATTTTCGGATAAAATGGCGAAAAAATGAAAAAAAAAGTCGATTTTAGGGACTGAATAACCGTTTGCCACGCTTTGAGCTTTTTTTTTTGGTTATTCAAAAGATCAGAGTTCATTCTGGGGACCAAGATGAAGCGATTGGTACCTAATATGTATGTGTGCTCCAGCTATAGAGGTATCTTTTAATCTATTTTCGGGTAAAATCGCGAAAAAATGAAAAAAAAAAAAAACCGTTGATTTTAGTGACTGAATAATCGCTTGCCACGCTTTGAGCAGGTGTTTCTTGGCTCTTCAAAGGATCAGAGTTCCTTCTGGAGACCAAGACGAAGCGATTGGTATCTGATATGTACGTGTGCTCCAAGTATAGAAGTCTCTTCTACTCGTTTTTCGAGTCAGATCGCTAGAAGAATGAAATAGCTTTAGCGAACAAATCATTTTTTTGTTGGAAAAAACTTGTTTTTTGGTATCAAGCTACAGAAAAAAATTGTTACTGCGGGGTACGGGCAGCAAATTGCAATATCACCATATTTGGCTCCAGTTAAGGTGCGAATTTTTGTAAAATTCCTCATATGTATGTTTTGGATAAAAGTGACGAATACTAAAAATCCTTGAGCTGTCGACCACGCAATCATTTCCTTTTACTTTCGTTGTAATAGTTTTACCGTTATCATCTGGCGATCGACACCGATACAATGGATTACCATGATTGTCAGTGATAAAAACTGTTGATGAAAAATTTAGCAATAAACCATCATTTAAAAAAATATGTTAAAAAAGTTTAAATTTACACAAAAGCTATAATGTGCTGTTATCTGCTAACAATTTTTGGAATCTTATTATGGTTAATGTAAAACCAATATTTTTGGATTTTTACTCTGTTGTGTTTAAATGATCGAAGTTGTGTCTTCTAATAATATTTTTAGGACAATCTCCTAAAACTACTGCTACGAATATACCAGTTACAATAGTCATATTAAGGGTGATTTGATTTAGAAATAAGGTTAATATAGGTTAGTCAGTGTTAAATAAGAAATTATATGAGGCCCATTTTTAAAAGAATCGGTACATCTACAAATAGAATTGCCGCATTTGGGGCGATACCAATCTAGATCAGATTAAGTAGACGCGCCTCTCTATGCCATTATATCAAAAATATAACATTGTCCAAATGTCCATCGTAGTTTCGGTGGGTAAGGCTCATCCTGTCGCCAAGGTAACCAATCCCAAAAAGATTGTTACTTTGGCCGGCCAATCACATCGCTCATTATTAACTTCTCTGTCATTAGTCTCTCGGCGGAAGATTGCTGCGAATTCTGAAACACAATGTGTACAAAAAAACAGCGCCTCTTCCGATCGGGACTTCAGTCGTCAGATACTTTTAGCCCACTAGACCTTGTTGGCCTGGTGTGCTACCTAGTAATTTTGTATTTCATTATTAATCCAAATACCTAAATCGTTGAAATACGTCGAATAGTAAGTATAAGAAAACTTAATCCAGTATTAAGAAGATACAAACTTCGAAACAATACGTCGAACATAATGAAAATTCACCCACTGTGAGAAAAAACACGAGAACCGGCGTGTTGAATGTAAACGCTTCCGGTCAGTAAGACGATCCTTTTGGAATATAAAGACAGTGGTCTATAACTTGTGTATTAAAACGGTTGCGAGAGAGTATAGGAGACAAATGGACGAGGAAATGAAGAGCCTGGAGGTAGGGGAAAATGTATAGGAACTGTGGACAAAATGTAAAAACATAATAACTGACAAAGCAACAAAAATAGTGGGGAAAACCAAACCAGTTAAAGAAAACAAATGGTTTGACAAGGAGTGCCAAGAAGCAACAGATAACAAAAACAGGGCATAGCTAAAGACAAATCCAGCTGGATGCACATGAAGAGCAAAGGAAGAATACCGGACCCTACGAAGAGAAGAAAAACGATTACATAGAAGAAAAAAAAAAAGAAAATTTGAGCAAAAGCAGTTGGAAAGCACAGAATGGCTAAGAAATCAAAATGAAACTCGAAAGTTCTACAGAAATCTAAACAAAATGCGCAAAGAATTTAAGCCAAGAATAAGAAGCTGTAAGGATGTAGAAGGAAACATCCTAAATGATACGGCCTCAATCCTAAACAGATGGGTTGAATTTCTCGATGCAAAATTGAATGGCCATCATATCGAAGAAGCAGATAACACCCTAGCAAAACGAAAGGATTGGAATCCTTTCAACCCAAACGAAAGACCACCTACCATCGAAAACGTTGCCCAAACCATTAAAAAGCTTAAAAATAATAAATCACCAGGAATTGATCAAATTTGCAGTGAGCTCTACAAGAATGGTGGCGATGCCCTACTACAGACACTGTATAAGCTTTTACTTCTTGTTTTTCATAATGAGACCATGCTTTGTAAATGATCTCAAGGCGTGATATGCCCGTTACAGAAAAAAGGTGACCAGCTCCAGTGTGACAACTATAGAGGTATAACCCTGTTAACAACTGCTTACAAAATACTAGCAAATATTCTCTACGAAAGGCTGCAAGTTTACACAGTGGGAATAGTTGGTAAATATCAAGCTAGATTCATTCCAGAAAAATCAACAATTGACCAGATTCATTCAATAAGACAGATTCTCGAGAAAACATTAGAATTCAATATTGAAACCCATCACCTATTCGTCGACTTCAGGGCCGCATACGACAGTGTCAAGAGAACAGTGCTATACCAATCAATGCATAAGTTTGGTATACCAGAGAAACTTATCCGACTAACGAGAATGACAATGTCTAACTTAGAAGCCACTGTTAGAATAGGAGAGAATTCTAGATCCTTTGAGATAAAGGATGGACTCAGACAAGGGAATGCTCTGGCTTGCCTCCTATTTAATAATGCCTTAGAAAAGACAGTCTGAGATACACGAATTATAAATAGCGGTACTATTTATAATAGATCGATACCAGTCTTAGCATATGCTGACGGCATTGACATAATAGGGCGTAGCAAGCTAGATGTTGAACAATATCTCCTAGAATTGGAAATAGCGGCGAAACAGGTCGTTCTAGTCATCAACGAAGACAAAACCAAGTACATGTTGGTTACAAAGGATCCGATATTAAATGAGGAACGAGAAACAGTCTTTGGAAGTCATACCTTTGGACGTGTTTGCTACCAATAAAACAAGCAAAGAAATTAAAAGACGAATAAATCCTACAAATAGATAAATAAATAAATCTTACTATGGACTCCAAAAGCATTTCCACTTAAGAAACTACTATTATAGTTAAATACTAAGAAACTAAAATTATTATATACAAAACATTGCTGAGGCCGGTCCTCATATATGGAGCAGAAACATGGACTCTAACGCAGAAAGATAAAAGATTTTTGGAAATATTTGAGCGTAAAATACTCCGCAAAATATTTGGAGTTATAAACGACCAAGGGCAGTGGCGTAGAAGATATAATTTTGAATTGTATCAGCTCTTTGATGCGCCAGATGTCATAATGTTCAATAAAACACAGCCACTTAGATGGGCCGGACACCTAATACGAATGCCAGAAAATACGATTGCTAAAAACCTAACCACAGGAACACCTGTAGGAAGAAGAAGCAAAGGCCGACCGCGAATTAGGTGGTTAGATGGAGTTGAAACCGACTTAAGGATATTAAAAATCAGAAGATGGCAACATGTTGCCAGAAATCGAACAGAATGGCGACGAATCTTAGAGCAGGCCAACATCCACAGAGGATTGTCGAGCCAAAGATGATGATGATGATGGTCTTATAACTATTCTAAATTGTGTCGAGTTGCCCACAGCGTTCTTTTGAGCGACTACGGTAAAGAGCTAATAAAAGACCCGACGGGGACTTGTAATTGCTTTTCCGATCAGAGTCAAGATACGACGACGATTCATCACCTAAAACCTTATCCAAATAGTAACCATAGGAAATACTGTTTGTGAAAGGTGGAGTACAAAGCGACGGGCAGTTAGTACAGTCGACACGACTGGCTTTCTTGTGCCTCCCTCAAGGAGAGGGAACGCGGTGATTCGAAGTGAGAAAGCCGGAATCTCTTTGGATTTGAGACATACACCAAGCAACAAAATTCAAACACTCATATAGTTACTGTACGAATTAAGTCTCTAAAAAACTCGAACTGTTAAAGAATTCTGATTGCCGATGTCCCCTCACCTACCACAGAGGCTCGGCGAAGCTTCTGAAATAAATAAGCCGGAATCCTAAATAACTCCTGTTGCAGAAATAAAAAACAATATCATAAGTGTATGCGAAATGAACAACTCATAGTGTGCCGGTTGTCATAGACAACGAATGACATTAACAAAAAATAATTAAGAACGAGAACAGTCAAAAATATATTATCATTACTATCAATCAATTTATATCATTATTTTCAACCAGTTTAAATCAGTAATCAATATCAAATAAATTTATCACTAAAAATACTTTGTATGCTTTAATACAAAACATTTTGGCGACCGTGACAGGACCTGGCATCCATTCCATTTAGAACCGGCTCATGGACATTGGCGAAGGTTTGGCGATTAATAATTGGAGTTGGAGCACATAGTTTGGAACATATATCTAGAAAAACAGGCATCTTCTATCCAAGTACTTATCTATCCTTTTATACACCTTTCATGCTTTATTTGTGTTGTTATTAACAGTAGAATTTACAATAAATGAAATACCAGATCAGTTAGCGGTTAGATTAACATCGGCAAAAAATTTATTATCAGAATTCAATTCAGTATTCATTCAACTTTTGGCATTAGATGAAACAAAAAATTTTGAATATGAGATTGAACTGGATGAATTTGAAAATAAGTACTATCATTGTATATCAAAAGCAGAAAATTTAGTCAAAAATTACGAAATTAGTCAGAAAAAATCAGATGCAAATAATTCAATAAAATTTGAAAACTCACAAAATATTAAATTGCCATCTATTGATTTACCTAAATTCAATGGGAACTCTGAAAAATGGCTCGAGTTTTATGATACATTTAGTAGTTTAATAGGTAATGATCCCAATTTAAACAACATTAAAAAGTTTTACTATCTTAAATCATGTCTAACAGATAATGCAGCCTCAGTTATTTCTTCTTTGGAAGTCACAAATGATAATTACAATATTGCTTGGTCAATTTTAACAGATCGTTTTCAAAATGACAAACTAATTGTACATTCTCATGTTCGTGCTTTATTTGATTTACCAGTTATGCAAAGAGAATCATCTACTCAACTCAGGAAAATGATTGATGAAGTTAATAAAAATTTAAGGGTTTAAGAATCATTTAAACAACCTGTACATGAGTGGTCAACAGTTTTAATATATCTGCTAACTTCTAAACTTGACCACAACACTAAACGCCAGTGGGAATCAGAAAATGTAAACAAAAAAACACTTTTAACTCTTACAGAATTTCTAAACTTCTTAACTCAACGCTCACGTCTTCTAGAAACTCTCTATGCAAACAATGACAAACAGACACATGTCCCACATCAAAAACATATTGCCCAATCACATATCAAAAACAAATCACAATCATTTTTAAATCAGAACAATGCTAATTATAAATGTTTTTATTGTAAAGAAGCACACTTAATTTTCTATTGCAACAAATTTCTACAATTACCAGTAAAACAGAGAAATGTTGAAATACGGAAATTAAAATTATGCACAAACTGTTTAAGAAACAATCACTCTCTTGAGAAGTGTATATCATCCAGAAGTTGCAAGTTTTGTAACAAAAGGCATAATTATCTCTTACATTACTCAAACAATTCCGAAGTTCAACTAGATCCGCAACGAAACCTCAGCAACATGAATCTGGGGCAAGAATCAGAATCATTTGGAAATTCAATGAATGAACATAACCATTTAAATACAGTTCAGAATAATTCAACACAACCATCAACATCAGTAGTTCTAAGTTCCAGCAACAATCAGCAATCAGAAGTTTTAC